ACCGCGAATATGACCGACTGTATGTCAGACGAGAACATCAGAGATGAACTCGAAGCAGTATGTCAATGCCACATACAGCGAGAAAATATTCCGCCTAATTAAAGTCAGTTACAGGTGGGATGAACGTAGAAAGGTCTCTTACGACCCAGAATCTGAATGTTTCATACAGGGGTGGTCAGCCTTCGCGCCCACAAGGAGGAGGAACAATATATAGTATTACGTCGGTATCTGAAGCAACCCAGAGGGATTGCCATGATTTGTAATCACTAATAGTCGCAGGTACTGTGGCAGGTCAGCGATGACCAAACGTAGCAGAGATGTCCAGTAACCTCTATGTCTAAGACAAGGGTTGCTAGATCGAGAATGCTGCTGCACGTTAGCCGGGAAGCCACTACCTCGTGCTCAGAATCCTTACCCCAGAAACGCCACCTGAAGGCAAGGAAAAGTCAGGGATTGCTAACTCGGCGTAATCCTTACATTCATACCAGTAGTTTCAGGAGTAGTCGGTCCTTTGGGAATTGGCGGAAGTAATAGACAGTCTGCGCGACGGTGCAGCTGAAAAACCTATGTTGGGAGCGATTGGTCGTGGCGGCTAGCAGCACAATTGAACATAGGCGTACACTGAGGCAAAAAGGACGCCTATGAACACAGATCCTGCAGTTCCGAACAAGTGGAGATCTGTCTCCGTGTCCACCATATCCAAAATGTCGATCTGGATACCACAGTAGATGGGAGTATGGGGATAACCCCAGTACGCATGCGAAACCCTCTATGACCGTCGGGCTGCGTCACGCTGAGGGACGAACATGCCCCCGATACATCACCGATACTGCCGTTGCTTGCAAGATTATGGAAACGCTGACGCCCGAATAATCGAACCATTAGGCTAAGAGACGCCAGAGGAATCAGCGCTATGACAGCCAACACCCTTATGGGCTCGCCACATGTCCCCGAGCAAGAGTGCATGCAGCTGATAGGAAGAAGTCTGATCGTCCACCAGTGGTAACTGGTGTGGGTCGACCACAGATTCTGCTCCACATTGCTAATATGATCCGATGGCATTCTGCAGGAAGGATGATCCGCGGGAATTCATGAGAACTGTGGTTCAGAAATGTCGTGAAGAAACCGAAGATACGTCCCGCAAACGCGTCTAGAGGCAGAGAGTCTTCGTCGAGCGTTCGTTGGAATCAGAGAAGAGGTAAGGAAATCGGCAGGAAGTAATATAATGCTGCCTAGAAGTAGATCATCTAACAACGGATGCACTGGCAAACCCGGCAAATGTCTCGACCCCAGCGTGAAGTCTTGAAGTTGGACTCTCATTTGTGCAGCTCTGTTGTAGTCCCCGTAGGTTGGTGACTACTACACTGTGAGGTAGACCGTGCGCCACGATATGCGTGGATGCCAATACAGACTTTCGAGCCCGAGCAGTCCGGTACCAGAAGTTACGAACTGCGAGTGTGAAACGCCTGGCCCTGCCAGCGCGTCTTGGCGCTATGTCTCAGGCGTCTTCGTATGTGTCAGACGCCTGAAGGCCTGAAGGGTTCCACACTAGAGATAAAGATAAGCGTTCATCCAATGGTGCCTCCAGGAATTGCACTATCGGGACGCGCCAGTGCCCAGATGTTTAATTGTGCTATTAGTGTCAGTGCCAGGCTATCTATACGCCGATTTTCGCATCCATTTGGAGCATGAGATGTCAGAAGTATCGCGGACACGAAAATCTTGGTACCGTCTCTTCACACCGCACAGAAAATGTAGTTTGTTTTGTCATTCCCAGGGCATTACAAAATCCTCTCAGTGGCAAGAAGAAGAAGTTCCACCATATCCAGAAAATCAACAACAATATATTGAGCACTAGCACGTATACATCCGTATACCCAACGAAGGCCATGCGAGACTAGGATCAGACGCGTGACAAAGTCAAGTGATGAGGACAACATCCATGTCGCCTTCAGGGGGCCGATCCGGGTTGGCACGTCTGCGAGATGGCTGGTAAGTCTCGGTGATTCTAAAGCGCAAATGCTCGTACCCCGACTGCGCCCAACAAAATGTCTGCATTACAGAAATAGCCTGTGCAGCATCCCATAATACCGGCAGTCGTGCACAAGTCGCCAGTTTCACCGCATGGAGTAGGTGGGATGGTCGGTTGAGGGTCCGGAGTCGGAGTCGACATTACGGACGACACTCCAAGAAGGAGGATGGTAGCGATAGCGGTGAATATGCCGGAATGCATAGTGTCTGCTAATGGGTTTCCTAGAGTCAAACAATGGGGTTGAGCACAGTAAAAGGAGATCTCACAACAATTGGTCACTTAAACCGCGGAAGAGCTTGGGATTGCTGGGGAGTTGACGAAAAGCTGCGCAGGTTTTATACGGTGCCTTCGTGAACAACAGTCAATATTTTGACATATTAGACCTGATAATTCGCCGAGGCGGCACCGGAGCACATCGGTTGGTATCACGCAGACAAACACGGAATGCCTCTCGCAGGAGTCGAAAGCGACTTTTTCGCAAACGCCATCGTCGCTCAGCCGAATACTGATGACGGGTAGTGAGAGATGTGCTGGATTTGCCAGATATTTTGACGAGCAGAAAGGCTGTCTGAAGTGAGACATGGTCAGCCGACGGACACAGGTAATATCAGGGACTGAGAGTCACCCACCGATGACAAGATATTGATGCAAGAAGACCGATCCATGCTCTTTCGCCTCGGGTTACATGAATGAGGAAGTTCCTTCACCCTATACTGAGTGCGCCACCGCGATCTATCATTGTGTACGCCGTGAGTGCTTGTCTAGCCGCCAGATAGTCCGAGCAAGTACCTTTGAGCAAATAAGGGGATTCCTGTATCACATCTATGCCTGCACGGACAACAGTCTGTAGATGCATGGACCGCAAAAGGTATCAAGAGAACTATAATGCAAGGTACCACAGGATGACTAGTGTCAGTAAGCCTCGACAGATTGCTGACCCCTGCTGTCATACGTACGAGGCGTTGGAACCATCGAAGTGAGTGATCTGATTAGCAGAAACCACTGATGGAACGTACAGAGCTTCACTGACACAACGGAATCACCGCCTCTGCGCTTTAAGTTTATACTCGGCAGCACCGAGGCTGACTATGGGCTGGTATGACACACGACATACGTCCAGGCCAGAAATTGTGATCATGGTCCGGTGTGTCAGCCACTGTTCTGGCCGAACTTCGAATGCGGCCTCGGATGCGAGTGCAATCCCGGAGTTGTCTTCGGGCTCTCGAATCGGCCATTTGCCATCGATAGAATGCGCAGCGTACGACTGCTGAGAACTGGATGGAAACTCAAAGAGCTTGCACAGAAGCTCCTGACAACAACGGAGAACGTTTCGATGTATGAAAGTTCCCAATCGATGGTAGTTTCGCGGACAGACTCCGTTAGAAATCGTGCAGACAGACAGAGAGCGCCTTTTGCAGGAACCGAAATCGATCCTGCGCAAACGCCGTCATCTGTCAGCCTGATACCGATGTCAAAACGTGAAAGAATTGCTAGATTTTCCCAAAGGTTTGAAAAGTTAGAACATTGCCTGAAGTGAGACGTGGTGAGCGTGAGGACACTGCGACTAGGGGCCCGGTGAACGCCTACTGACGACGGTTGGTGCACAATATCACCATCCTGCGAGTGGCATGAGTCAAGCCTTGAGACACCATCCCCGCGACGACTCATTCCCTGGTTCAGCACAACCGATGCCAGAGAACAGCAAACATGGATGAGGTAGGAACTATATGCGTCTCTGCGTACGTCCGAATGAAAGGAAGTACCTGTGAAGGTGGTCGAACGACATTCATCAGTCAACGGCAAAACCTTGTGCGAGGGATAGCGAGGACGATCACTTGGAATTAACCTCCCACTCGACGAGTCTCGTCAAGCAAAGACGCGAGCGATAATCACAAGATGGGTACCCATTGCCGAAGGGCTTCAGTTCCTCATGTGGTACTCTATCACTGGGTGCGATAGCAGGCAGGATATGTTCTTAGACTGAGTGCACTGCCTATACACTCTGATACGACTGTGAGGGACGAGTCGTATTGGACACGCAGTGCGTTTGGCGCAAGGGCAACATGAACAGTCAATAGCGTGAATAAACAAGTAGATTCGAGCAGCTTCAAAAGTCTTCCAGTCGATAGACATCATACGCAACCTCCTCGTACGGGTGTACCTGCGAGAGCGTGTCTGCATGTTTACCCCCATATATCCACGCAAAGAAGCGGCGTACCTTTTTGAGCACATCAAGCACACAGCGCATCTCGACGCGCTCTCCGCCCTCGTACGTCTCGCTCACGACCACTTCAACTCGGTCCTCCTCCACATACTCCTGCGCGCCAACAGTTCCAATTGCGGGGCTCGCACCTTCAAGTGGCATGAATTGACCTGTCGATCAGTATCACGCCCCCACCCAATGTAACGATGTGTTAATGTCCATTTCAACGCAAGCAAGCAAGTGCAGCGTGCAGGCTCGTGAGCGTGCCGGATGCCGTCGAAGGTGGGACGGACTACAAACCGGTTCCGCGGGTGACAAACGCGCAGCCGCCGTACAGGCCGATGCGGCCGACGTGGCGCGGGAACGTCGCGAAGAGGTGCTGCAGCACTCGCTGCGTCGAAGGCACCGGCGAGAAGAACACGAGCTTGAAGCGAGACATTGTCCGTGAAGCGACCCAAGTAGCACGATTCCCCGAATTCAAGTCTCCAGCTGTGTCAAGTTGGAGCATCTCACCCTAACCCTAGAACACCGAGGATGCGGGGCGAACAGTTTTGACCGGACCATCGGTTGCATGAATGATGTTTGTCTCTATATGTCTTTGTCGCCCAGCCTTCGCCATTGAGAAGAGAACGAGGGGACAGCAAAGGTTTTTCGCGAAGGCAAAACGAGTAAAGACGAGAAGAGTTGTGCAACAGTGAGGTCAAGTCGCAGTTGACAGGAATATGTGCATGGTACTATATTGTACCGCCAGATACTTGTGCTCAAGGCGCTATAGTGTAGTGGTTTATCACTCGGGATTTTGATCGGTCGCGAGTCCGCTGATGTTCCCGTAACCCAGGTTCGAACCCTGGTAGTGCCTACAATGTTTTTGGGCCAATTTTGCGCCACCGGCTGCTTACTATGTCGAGCTTCTATGAATGCTAAATACTTACTATTCATTGGTGTCTGTACCATGTGCAGACCTTGAAGTAGGTTCCCAATGATCGTTCAGTGATATTGAATACAGCTCATCGAATACGGGGGAGAGTATGACTCGTCTGCAGCTCCTCTTATCAACATCTGCTATCGCAACATCCCCGCCTCGCATGCGTCTGTTCTGGGAGGAAGATGCCCCTGGGTGACCCTCGTAGTACCCACCCACGGCGCAACTCGCGATCATCACATTCAACTGCCCCAAGCCGCACATCAGCTCGCAAACTACAATGCCTCGCTCGCTGTCCATCCTAATCGTCAACCCTAACTCCACGCAAGCCATGACCGACGCGCTCAGTCCCCTCCTAGCCGACCTGACTTCATCTGCGCCAGATCCTCCCCTACGCCTCACCTTTCACACCGCGCCTCCACCCGCGCCGCCGTCAATCGACGACGAAGCGACGAGTGCCACCTCCGCAAGCGCTGCGTTCCCCGGGGTGGTAGATATCATAAACACGGGGATACACGACGGCGTGCTCGTCGCATGTTACTCCGCGCACTCGCTCGTGGGTATGCTCCGGGCGCATCTCGCGGAAGTAAGACAGGCCGATGTGCCAGCAATGCTGCACGAACCGCTCGTCCTGGGGATCTTCGAGGCGAGCCTCCTGCACGCCCGCGCACTGGGACGACGTTTCGGGATCGTGACCACTGGAGCCTACTGGGAGGGCGCGCTCTCCGCGGGGGCAAATGCGCTCTTTGGCTCCGCAGACGCAGGTGGCGCGTTTGTCGGCGTACGCTCGACGGGATTGAGCGCGCTCGAGCTGCACAAGATGCCGGCGGCGGAGGTGCATGCGCGTATTGCGCTGGCAGCGGGGGCGCTAGTGGGTGAAGACGGGGCGGAAGTTGTCATCATGGGATGTGCGGGGATGAGTGGGATGGAGGCAGCGGTAAGGGAGGGTGCGAGGGCTGTATGCAGGGAGGTCATCGTACTCGATGCCGTGAGATGCGGGGTAGGAATGTTGGAGGGGATACTCAGAGCGATAGGCAGGGTTTAGGTGGGTGTATTGGCTCTGGTGTTGGGCAGGTTTGCGCCCGGAGGTCGTGCAGTGCTGAAGCATACTTCGAATGCTCCAGCCTGGCCCCAAACATCGATACGAAAGTCAAAAATAAGTCTCATTGACAGCTATTTTCTGCGTTCCCTGGGTGCAGGTTTGCAATGGCCATCGCAAGTTATCCCCACCGGCAGTTCTCAGTAGCGGAAATGAAGCTTAAAAGCCCAGCGTTACTTCGATTGTGATCCAACCCAGTCTATTCAGCAGGGACTGGCAAACCGAAGCCTTATTGTAGCATCGCAGTGACTCACCAGGCAAGTGTCCGCATCAGGTGGACTTGAATTTGACCTCGGAATATGTGTGCGCCGGTAGTGTATGGTACACACGATATATATCTTCGCATTTGTCCAACTACGGCGTGGATCGCGGACCGTGTGTCCGCTATTTGCAACGTTTCCATGCACTCGGTGCAACCGGCACGTCAGCCTGATTCCTGAGAATCTGCGGGTACATGTGTGATCGTTTCCAAGACGCACAGAGGGAGTTGAGCCGCGAACGACATCAGGCGGCATCCCGAATTATGTACCCGGCTGGTGCAACATCGTGAGACTTACGGCTCCGTGTCCTGAGAATGCCGCAGAACGAAGCATTCCGAGGACAAAGAATAGGTCATGCGGTGAGAGAGTGGCGAGAGAAAGGCGGATGTGTTATAGAGTAATTGGGGGATCGCCGTTGGTGTACATGTTTATATAGTCCGTATGGTTCCCTGGACTCGGTTTCGAAGTCCGACACGTCTGCCAATCGTAACGAGCAGCTGTCGTCGCTCGATCAAACAAGGAAGGAGTATTGCCTATTGCGGCATCTGTCCCCCCCTCGATCGGCGTAGGACGTCTGAATGCTCTCTCTTCGTGACGTCATGAACACAGGAGAGAAAACATGACATCACGAATGAGGTTCGTCATAAGAGCTTTCATACAACTCCCGCCCAGATGGATTTCGTCAGAACACGGAGAATACTCTCAGAGCTCACACACCACGTGTCCGGATACGTTAACCCACTTAAAGCGACGAACAACGTTTCATCGATAAATCACTGGTGCAATCTCGGCGTGCGTGCTCGTGCACAGGCGAAAATAGTCTTTGATAGGTTCATATCCACCTTACTACATTGGCCGCGCCGGCGACTGAACAGTGCATGATTGCATCCGGAAATCTCAAGTCGTGATCTGCTTAGCAGTCATGAGAGGACATGCATGTACCTTGTAAGTCGGATTGAGCCTCGTGTTGTGCCTTGCATCGCAGAATCACCGACACGTCACGATAGAGTTCGTTCGTGTGGTCTGAGTGACAGCGCCCTAAAGATGAGCCACCTCAGGCGCGCTGGGCCTGTGTGTTCAACAATCATACGGAGAGATGTCCAGAAACAAGTGTAGGTTCAAGACATGAAGATTTAGATCAGAGCCTCAGACATGGAATCGTGTTGGTCCTGTGAAATCCCCGTCGACGTACTGATGCAACTTGGAGAACAAGCGGTCGCATCTTGCAAAGCGCGAGAAAACGCGCCGGTGGCAACGAGCCCCGACTTGCATTCCCTTGCCAATTTTCGCCTGTTGTCTCCGAGACGAGGCGCGTTCCTCGATGCTCACCGCATTTGATCACAGCCAGTTCTGTTCATCCATCTCCCCGACCTGCCCTGAGTGGCTACGAACCTCTGCGGACATGTGTCCTGGAAGATGAGCTGATGTCGCGATGACAACGAAGGTTGGCAACGCGAGATCGATGGGTGGTGGGAAGCATGCTTGGAGCCACGGCAGGTGGCAAGGTTTGACTCGCGGGCACCGAGTCGCACGCGTGTCGAACGCATCTGGATCCTTTGTTCGACTTTATCCTCCGTCTCACCGATATAAAGCATGGCAGCCCACAATCTCAACTTCATCTTTGACAGCTCTCTCCATCTCTCTTCCTGCCTTTCTACGCCGGGCGTACCTTCTCTCTTTTGCGCGAGCCGCAGTACACATTCATTCTTTCACGATCCCAGCGGGCTTCGACTTCTACTACTCTCGTTCAACAACTCACGCGTATCTTCACATCATAGCCACCGAAGTCTAGTAAAATGAAGTTCTCGACGATCGCCCTTTCTGCTGCTGCTGTCCTCGTGTCGGTCTCGTCCCGGCCCGTGAAGAGAGATGTCGACCCCAACCTCGTGCCCCAGTTCGGCGTGCAGGCTGGCGTCAACCCCGATGGTACAGGAAATTGTGATGGTATCGACGGTGAGCATAATAGGCACTCGGAGGGACCGTTCCGAGCTGATACGGTCCAAGGCGCCAACGGCAAGCCGATTCTGATCCCCTGCTCATGCCCTCCCGATCGCGACACGTTCATTTCTGTGCGCTCATTCACCTTCACTCATCGGAGTCCTCTTATACTCACGATTCATCATAGGACCTGAACACGAACGTGAACCTTGGCCACGTCTCGACGAACCCGTCCGTCGCGGTCACGTTCCCGACGGACAACTCGACGCAGTCGCAGCTCGCGCGTATCGAGGCCGCGATCGTCACCCTGCAAAACCTGAACGGGCCCGGCGTTGGCTGCCCTGCCTCATCCACAACGTTCAGCGCACAACAGCAGGCGATCCAGAACGGCGCAAATAACGACGCGGCGGCGCCCCCGCCCGCGACAACCGCTGCTGCCCCGCCCCCACCTGCAACAACCGCTGCTGCAGCTCCGCCCGCGACAAGCTCCGCGACTGCGAGCACAAGCGGCGGCGTCGACCCCAACCTCGTGCCTCAATTCGGCGTGCAGGCGGGCGTTAACCCCGATGGTACTGGGTGAATAGCGCGCTTCCTGCTCAATCGCCCGCATACAGCCGCTAACCTTCACGTGTGCAGCAACTGCGACGGAATCGATGGCGCGAACGGCCAGCCGATCCTCATCCCCTGCTCATGCCCGCCCGATCGCGACACGTTCATCCAGGACCTGAGCGCGAACGTCGCGGCGGGCAAGGCCGTGAACAACCCCTCCGTCGCGGTCACCTTCCCGACAGACAACTCGACGCAATCGCAGCTCGCGCGCATCGAGGCCGCAATCGTCACCCTGCAGAACCTGAACGGGCCCGGCGTCGGCTGCCCTGCTTCATCTACAACGTTCTCTGCGCAACAGCAGGCGATCCAGGATGGCACAAACGTCGCCGTGGCGGCGCCCCCGCCCGCAACGACTGCTGCTGCTCCGCCCCCGCCTGCAACGACCGCTGCTGCTACTCCGCCCGCGGCAAGCTCCGCGGCCGCGAGCACAAGCGGCGGCGTCGACCCGAGCCTCGTCCCGCAGTTTGGCGTTCAGGCGGGCGTCAACCCCTCCGGCACTGGGTGAGTGGCCCGCCTCTTGACCACTCGCCCGTATACAGCCACTAACCTTCACGCGTGCAGTAACTGCGACGGCATCGACGGCGCGAACGGCCAGCCGATCCTCATTCCCTGCTCGTGCCCGCCCGACCGCGACACGTTCATCCAGGACCTGAGCGCGAACGTCGCCGCGGGCAAGGCCGTGAACAACCCCTCGGTCGCGGTGAGCTTCCCCACGGACGGCTCGCTGCAGTCCCAGATCACGCGCCTGCAGGCGTCGCTCGTGACGCTCCAGAACCTGCATGGCTCTGGCGTCGGCTGCCCCGCCTCGTCGACGACGTTCGTCGCACAGCAGCAGGCGCTCCAGAACCAGCTTAACGCGCAGTAGAGCTGAGCGTGGCTGATCCTGGGAGCGATGAGGGAAGAATCACTAATGTAGGTTGAGATATTATTATTGCTGTGCTTTGGTAGACAAGTGATACCCCGGTTGTTGATCAATGCATCATGATGGTGCTTGGCCACCGCTTTAGCTGTCAGATCTTTGCTGTGTGCGA